GTAAGGGTAAATCTCTGCCTGCTTTAAAGGATAAAACTCATTTCTAATTATTTACTGGTTTTGCATATGTAAATCTGCCTTTAAATGACCAGAAAAAGTTCTTCTAAATTGATCTATCAAGTCTCCTAAAATGTTGTTGTAGTTTGATTAGTGAGTTCTTTGCTATTATTATTGAAGTGTTCTCAAAGCACTTCAAATGTAAATTTCAGCTCATTTTAGGTCAAATATTCTGATTTTTTTTGAGTTTAGAAAAGCCAAAATACATATAATTTTACAGCATATTTGTTTCTTGGATTTTTAAAATASAATGGCAAATGTATAGTTCTTATTAATGGAAACATTTATGACTTGGCACAATCTATTCATAATTTCAAAGTCTGGAATTAAATTAAAGTTAAAACTGTCTAGGAGAAAGAGTTAATGACATTTCTCTCTCATATGTGTGTTTGTGAGTTTTGGTCATACTGATATCTCCTTGAGAATAGAGACCCTGGTACTTAGCCTAACATCTATCTCATACTGTGAATACCAACACATTATTTTAAAACTCATTCAACAAAATTTGTTGAGCACCTACATTGTGCCAAGAACTTGGATATGAAATGAGGATACAAATATAAATAAAATGAATATTTGGTTATTAAATCCAAATGAACATTGATCAAATATTCTTGCCAAATTTTATGTAAAGTATTTCTCCATATTGAACTTGGTATACAATTTAAAAGATTTTCATTTAATCCATAGTGGAAAAATTATATGTATTCCTATATATACTTGCTATAAAAATGCTTAATGTTCAGAATTGTCTAAATGAATTAAACTACCTCCTGACAAAACCAAGGCTCAAGAAAATTTCAAGACAAATCCAAAAGATCAACAATATAAAGCCCTTTTAGATTGAACCTCAAATAAAATCCATGTAGACTAGTGTATTTCATAGAGCCTCTAAAGTAAACAAGAAAGAACTCCATACAAATAGAAGGGAATGGTGTGGGAACTTGATTTAAGAACATACATCAAATTCACACACATTCATGGCTGTTCCAGGCCTAACTGTCTATTTACAGATCCTTTAACTTTGTATCCCACCATCTTAAGTGAGAATGTARATAGAACATACTGATATCTAACTCAGAAGAGCTATGTCCAGAAGTTATTATTCAAGTCTAATATCCAAATGATAGTAAATCCACCCCAGAATCAAAGTCCAATATTTTAAAAGTTATTCTCAAAATAAGATATAAAAAACAATGTCTTTCTTTCCTCTTTTCTTCTTTCTTTTTTTCTCTGGATATAGCAGATCACTTAGTAAGCAAACCAAAATATTTTTCATTTCCTATAATTTGCATCCAAACTGTATAAAGCATTTAAATGCACATGATTCCAAGTACACATTACTTTCCCTCATATTTATCTTTATTATTATTTTTGATGAAACTAATAGCAAACTAGTTTGTTTTCTCCAATAGTAAGAGAAAGCAGCTTCTTATGCTTAATTGTTTGTAAAGATAATATGTATGTAACAGTTATAAAGTAAGACTTTGAGATCCTTGAGTGGAGAAACAAAATCATTGAATCATTCTTCATTCTATACTTTTATGCATCACCTAACATCGTACCTTGTACAGAACAGGTGTTCAAAACACAACTGGTAAATGAATAATTCATTCACAGAAAATTAAGATTTGATGTTCATGTATTAAAAGAGGGAATATTTTTAGTCTTTGGGTTGTTCTATTATATAACAGTTACACAAGCCTTTGGGATTTAACTAAGGATTTTATTCTTTCAATTAATAAAATAAATGAGTTTTGTATGTTGATATAGTACTACTACCTACCCTAACAAACATATCTTCAAATAGTGGAATATCTCAACAGAAGATTATTTCTTTATAAGGTAAAGTATAATGCAGATTTTCTGCATAGGTGACARCATTCCTTTAGTTAAAGACTCAGCTCTAACCACATGATGTTCTGTGGGTCCCTGAGTCTTAGAAGCCTCTATATGCAACTAAAGGATGGGAGCTGATAGACTGGAGAATGTGTATCTGTTCCTTAACTACCTTGGCCAGCAAGTGACAGAACACTTTAGCCTGGATTCAGGGTCAGGCTGGGAAATGGACTCCCTAGCTGGGCAGATGCTAGAGAGATAGATTATGGAAAGGAAAATGCATTTTTTTGGGGGGGGTTAACTTTTTATTTTCTTAATTTTTTCTTCACAAGCAGAGGACATTTCCAAAGTCAGCTCATGGAAACTGAAATAACTTTTTGAAAATGTAAATGCCAAAGGTAAGGTAATTTTATGAAGTGGTAATATAATCAAGAATAGCTCTGACAGTCTAACAGGATTAAAAAAAAAAAAGAATGGCAGTTGCAGACAGTTGGACATCTAAATGAATATCTGAGTAAAAAAGATAATTTAGCTATCAGGTTCAGTAAGCCAAGTTTATGGATATTAACTAGTCCCCAGTTATTAAGCTGCTGTTAGTTTCCTTTGGAGCAGGGTCCAATTTGTTTAAGAAGTGTCTATGTTGCAACAGTTGTGGAACTATACACATGCTTTTAAAATGCCTGATGATAATAAGACATGTYGTGAAGTGATTATGATTCATAACTTTTTTTTTTCCCACACATACCTCAGCTAGGAGGTGTCCTAGACCTGTAGTGGACTGAAGGGTGTGACTGAAAGGTGTGCCTTTATTTCCTATCTCTATCATAAAACTTCTCTATGCTGCTGACATTCTAAGCCTTCTGATGTTGGTTCAATGGCATTTTCCTATATTTGGAGTAAGTTAAGTCCAAATAACAGTGGGAACTATATCTGTTTGCCACATGTGTGTGAGAATGTTTTGCCCTTGGAAGTGAGCATCCCTGGACATGGTTTCCTGGTCTTTCCTGAAGCAGGCCCTCTTCACCCACAGGTCTTGGCATCCTTCCCTCTCTGTGTGCCATCTGGCCTGGGACCAACTTCCCAAATCTGCCTCAGCAACTAGCTCTGCTTGTGTCCAGGAGGCTGTTTGCAACAAACCCTTTCTGAGGAGATTATGGTGACCTCTAGGAGCACATGATTTTATGTTTTCTGAAAGCTATGCTGGACTCTAGGCTTTACTGACAGAGAGGACCATTTTTACAGCACCATATCCCTACATGCAGACTCATAAATTACCTACCACAGTGTCTGACATATGAATAAAAGGAGCACAATACATACTTATTGAATAAATTGTCTGCCTAATTACCACATACTATTCTGGGGTTGTAAACTGGCCAGCAGAATCTCACCCTTTGGGCCCATGGCATCCTCTCTTTGCTGGTGGGACACACCTCATATCCTGTCCCTTAGCTTGGAGGCCTCCCCAGAGACTGACTACTTTCTAGAGTGTGTTCCTACTTCTTGCAGTTCACACTACCCCTTGTGTTCCAGCACCACCAGCCAGAAAAATAAGTTATTAAAACTTAGATTTCAAGTTTGAGCTTGATCTAATCCCTGTCGTCAAAACAGTTCTGCTGGCTCCATCTCCTGCCTTCCTAAACCTTTTTCTAGGCCATTTATTGGGTCTGTAGTTCAATTCAGGAAATAGGAAAAACCCATTTGGAATTTGCAAATACAACATGAAGGAYTGAGGGTGAAAAATTTGTTTAACTTTCTTCATAATTCCCTCCAGAATTCCAACTTTCTTGAGGGTCCTTGGACTGAGGTTGATCCAGGAGAGGCTGAGATGACACCTGGCAGAGGGAGAACCACTTCTAAGATTCCTCTGGTCTGAAAGGAGCCTTTCTGCTACTAACACTCTGCCCCCCAGCGTCTAGCATTCTCGCCTTAACTTTCCTTCCAACCTGAGATACCAGGGCGGGCAACTGCCTACAGCTCCAAGGTCCTGCGGACATCCAGAGTACCAAGTGGATGAGAGGCAGATTTGGTGTCGCCTGTCCCAAACAGTGGCTGAGTGTCCTTGTGTGAACAGTCAAAAGGCGACTTCCACGTTTCTCCCGCTCCCACATTTCTCCAGAGAGTGCAACAGGGCAGCCTAGGATGGCTGAATCGCCCGGGGTCGCGTGGACTCCTGTCCCCACCCTCCCAGGAAAGCCCGGTCCTGTGTCCCGCAGCGCCAGACACACTCAGCCAGGTCCCTGGTCCGCGACTTTTGACAGAGGACCCCTCCTCTTGTTAAGGTGTGCATGCATGGGTGGGAAACAGTAACAGCCACCATACCGCCAACACAAAAGCCCACTAGAAAATACAACCGTACACCCCRTCACAGGCGGAGCCCATCTCCGCAAGGTAAGTTGTTTATTTGTAGTAGTTTTGGCGATTCTCYCTGGACAGCTGCGGCAGCGACAGCAGCTGCGCCGTGGGTCCCAAGCTCCTCGCGCTCTTCCTTCCTCCGCCCTCTCTCGGTTGCCCCCACCCGCTCCGCTCCTCTCCCCGCCTTCTCSGTGCCCTCTCGCAGGCCACGCACACACCCGGAGACACCGTCCGTTCTTGGCTACTCACACTGCAGCTTAACCCAGTCGCCAAGGCGCGGGTGCCAAGGAGGCGCGGGGGTGTATGCGGATTCCCGGGTAGGAAGCCAAGTGGGGGTGGGGGTGGCATGGTAGAGCCCCTCTCCTCCCAGCCACCACCCCCTGCCCATTCTCCTTTCCTAATCCTGGCCTGCCAGCAACAGTGACACCTGAGCAAGGACTGGGCGGTGGAGGCGGCAGGCCCGCTGGACTGGCAGCTGGTGGAAAACAGAGCGAGGGGCGGGGACAGCCAGGAGGAACGGGGGGCGGGACGAATCCGGAGGCCGCCACCTGGCAGTGAGGGACACACGTCCTAGCCAATGAGTGCACGGGGCTGCGACGTCGGGGCAGGAGGCCGGGGGCGGGCCCCGCGGGGAGGCGGAGGCTACCCCGGCGCTAGAGGCGGGGGCCGGGAGGAGGAAGGGGAGGAGGCGGAGGCGGGCGCGGTGGCGGTGGCCGGCGGAGGCGGTGGCGGAGGCGGCGGAGGAGGGTAGGTTGTGCCCGGGACTGTGTGTGCCGAGCTCCGCGGCTGTGCCTGTGTGAGTGAAGGAGCGGTGCCGGGAGGCAGAGGCGAGCGCGGGCGAGCACGGCAGCGGGACGTCTACCGCGGCCGCGGCACCGGCGGCTGCATCGGCGGCGCTCGGTGTGGAGAAGCAGCGGCGGCGGCGGCAGCAGCAGCAGCAGCAGCAGCAGCAGCAACAGCAGCGGTCGTCTCAACGCCACCGGGGACGCCGAGGCGCTGCTGGTGGCACTGACATCTGCGGCCCTTCCTCTTCTCCCTCGCCCCCGGCCCTCCCCATGTGATCGGTCTTAATCCCGGCCGTGTGCGCGCGTGGGTCTCCATTCCGCGGTGCCCGGTCTCCGTGCCGGGGTGGGTACTTGTGTGTGCGCTTCTCCTCCCCATCCCCCTTCCCCCAAGAATAAAAGAAGAACCGGGAGGCGTGCTCAGAAAATAAATAAATAACCACCACACACGCGCAGCCCGGAGCGAGTCGGCGGGGCTGGCGGCGGCAGTGGAGGAGGAGTGAAGGCGGCGGCAGCGGAGGAGGGACGCGCGGAGAAGGCAGTAACTTTAAAGCCAGCTCAGAGCCCAGACCTCCAGCCGAGCGGTTTGCAKCGCGGCGGCGGCGGCGTTGAGTGTCTGGCCCGCCGGTCCGGTGGGGGTGTGCAGTCGGACGGACAAGCAGCGCGTCGCTGTCCCCCGGCGGCTGGAGATGTCCGAGCCCAAGGCAATTGATCCCAAGTTGTCGACGACCGACAGGGTGGTGAAAGGTAAGCGGAGCGCCACGGTCGCTCGGGTGCACGGTGTGCCGCAGGCGCCCGGGCGGCTCGCCTCGCCTCCCCTCCCCCCCGCCCAGGGTTCTCCTCACCCAGCTCCAGCCACGGACCTTCTAGGATATTGTGCAACCCGCGAACCCCCTCCCCCGCGGCGCCCTTCCCCCACGCCTCCCTCTCAGCTCCACTTGGGGCATTTTTATTGACGGGGGCGTCAGTTGGCAAATGGCTGAGCCGCGGGGAGGCGGCGGCGGGGGTGGCGGTGGCGGTGGCGGGAGGGGGCGCCCCGGGGGTGGTTGCTGGCAGGGTGTAGCTGCTATGACAGAAATAGGAAGTGGGTGGCTGCTCGCAGGCTTGCATGGGATCGGGTTTATGGTTTTCTTTTGCAGAGGGAGGGGGTGATTTATGGCTTTTAAAAAATTAATATGGCATTTTTATGTGGCCGTGGCTTTCCACGGACTACCTCGCTGGGGCAGGGTTCTCTCGGTGCTCCATTGCAGCAATTCCCTCCGCGCCCCTTCCCCCTCCCACTGGAAGGGCCTGCACAGGACTCGCGAGAGAGCGGGAGAGCGTGGGGGGAGCCTGGCGTTTCCTTCCGCGCGGGGCTGGGGTGGCCGTCCGCGGGAAGGTGGCCGAAGGGGATCGTGGGGGATCATGAGGCTGGGAACGACCGGAGAGCCCCTATCAATGCCGCCGCCGCCCCGGGATTCCCCCAAACGCCTGAGAACAACGTGAAAAGCCATTCTCCAACCTCTCTCACCACCGCTGACATCCTTCTGTCGCCCTGTCATTGCTCTTGAAGGGTTCCCCTCGCTTGCACACCTCCCCTTGGGAACCTCATCCCGCTTATTTTCTTCATGTCCCTGGCACCCTTTGTAACGGGCTATTTAATTCTCCACCCTTGGATTTTATGTATACACTCGGTGCAGGGATGGTTCTCTGATTGCTGGTGAAAAGAAGGCGGGATGCCAGGGGTGAGGAAGGGGACAAACTGTGGTCGCCCTCTCTATTGCACTGGAGAGAGAGATCCCACCGTCTTCATCACGTTCCAAGGTGGTGTGGGGGAGGAACCTTCTTAGGACTCTTGCAAGAATGAGGCAACAGAGCAGATCCACCAGGATTAAGTAGTGTCCCTTAATTGTGGGGTCAGGACACGGAACATAACCGAGATGAACATGGACTGTGTGCGGAACGGGCCTCTGAAATTGGAAACTTGGCCGGTGGTGTGGGGTGTGTGTGTGTGGTGTTGTGTTATGTGTAGAGATGTTATCTGATGGGGCCAGAGCATGCAACTAGAGTGCAAGGCAATAAAGTCATTTGCACCAGGAGCACTTAGGCTAAGTAACACAGCAGCCTAAAGACTACATAAGTCTCCCTGGGGTTTCAGAAAAGATCCTGTGCCTTTCAGTTTTAAAGTAATTGTGTGTGTGAAGTGTGTGTGTGTGTGTGTGTGTGTGTGTGTGTGTGTGTGGTGAATGGGTGGCCGGGACTCAAGGGGGAACTTGTGTTCTTTTTTTTTTTGAGAAAGAGAAATAAAATGTCTTCTTTTGTTTTGATTATATTGGAATAATTCCTGCTTCTGTGCAAGATTCACAGACCCATCAAAATAAGGAGGAAATAGTTTTGCAAAAATGATTCAAGATACGACTACAGTTAGATGCACAACTATGATTTTTTTTTCTGCAGGCATGGATCCTTATGTAAACAGTCAAATCAAATTCATTCCAAAGAACTGTTTTGTATTAAAGATTTCTGTTGACATTTTCAAAAATGAAGACTTTTTACTGAAATATCAGAAAATGACCAAGATCTCCCTAATGTGTAAAGTTCAGGTGTAGCTTCATTCTGTAGGTTAAGATTATTTATTCTCAAAACAATTAAGGTAAATTTACAGTTCCGTTAATTGCAGTCAATGTGTGGGCAATTAAAAAACAATCATGCACACTTATGGTCACATTTCTTTTTTTTTAAATCACGAAATATGGATTCCTAATGTAAACATAAAGTTGTTATCAAGTGAGCAATGTGAAAATAATTGTTCATAATTCTGCCTTGGTGTCTTTGCCAGTAAATATGGTAACCATTTAACCATTCCATAGCTATTTTACCTTTTCCCCATGCTATGTTGTTATGATTTTTCATTAGAAGTACACAGTTCTCAATAATTCCAGAAATTTGATCTACATATTTTTACACAAGTGAAATGGAAATGTGCGCAATAGACTCAAAAGATGAAAAGTTAATCTTGCATTTGTTTTGATAGGGATTCTGACGTAAATCTTAAATAAGGGATTTTGTTTATAGAAAAAACTTTTATTGATGAATCTGATTTTAAGGTGGGCACACTGATGCTATTTCTGTTATACTTTCTTGTTGATTATATTGTTGGCTTAAAAGGCATTCTTCAAGATTGTAATCAACATTTTGTCACACGTGAATTTTTTGTGATTAGTTATTTGAGAAAATCTATTTTGATCCTCTTGAATGTGAATACACATGCTCAGTAAGGGGAAAGTATATATTTACTGAGTGGAAAACAAATTATTAAGTGATTTTTTTTTACAAAAAGTAGGTAATATATAGTTTATTAAACCAGTATTTACACCAAAATATTGCTAGAATTTCATTTCAGTTGTCAAGTCTTCAACACAGGATTATCCTTGAGGAAATATTTGTGCTACTTAGGTCTTCTCTCCTTTTCCAAAGAATATATTGTAGTATTTGCTGTGTATACATACAGAAATGAGAAACATTCAGCTCATTATTACCTTGGTGTATCCTGATATTTGCTTACAGTTATCTTTATTGCTATGATCTGACTTTTGCTGTGTAGCAAATTGCTGTGTACAAATAAAGCTGTGCTTGTGGATTTTTCTGCGGTGATTTGTTGATACCTCTTTTGATTTGCACTTCCAGAATGCAACTTTAGAAAGGTAGGTTGAGTCTGAGTGTCAACTGTGTCATTTTTGAGGTTTGTAGAGTCTGCCAAAGTGTGTTCAAAGTCCCTGATCCATTTTCTAAACCTTATGAAAGGGAAGATAGAAGTGGRAGTGAGAAGTGTTTATTTAGATTACCTCAAAACAGAAAAATTATTTCAATTAGTAAAACAGATGTTATTTTATTTTGACTGTTGTTCTTAGAAACAATAAAAAAGTATAAGAATTCAGAGAAAACATCTTGGAAAGGTATTTATTGGAAAGCAGAACAATTTGATTATTTACCGTTTTACATTATATTTTTAAGGGACTATTTCATAGCTATAAGGCAAAAGATTGAGGGTTATAAATAGAAGAGTAAACCATCTCCTTTTCCTTACCTTCAATATACTCTGTAATCTGGCTTTCTCTGCAGTGGTACTCCACAGGCCTTGTTCTAAACTTTGGCTTCTCTTCATTGCTTTGTACTTATTCCTGCCTGGAATGATTTGTGTAGCCCTAACATTCTCTTGTGGCCATAGACCTTTGCTGGGTGACAGTTAAAAATACATAGAGAAAATTAAGTTCTATGTGATGATAAGTGTGTGACTTTCTAATGTATCTCTTCATGTCTTCAGGTATTTTGTTATGGGCCCTTTACCCTAATTGATTTTAATGGTAGAAATCTCAGATACCCTGGGATGCAGCTGAAGGATAACTTCTGGGTAGAGTTCCTGAGAATCTCAGAAACTCTAGGCAGTGCACTGTTGTGCTTTGTGTAAGGTTACTATTGGCCATGGGGAACGAGAGCTTTTTTTCTTGTGTACTGCCAGCTTATATACTCTTGGTGTAAACAGACACTCATAGGACAATTCTGGAAAGGTATCAAAGACCATTCAAGCAAGAAGTTGTAAGTAAAGTAAATTAATATTACATGAGGATTCAGGCTAGCCAGTATTTCTAGCTGAGAGACTAGTAAAACTACTTAAAATGAAAACAAGAATATGGTCCATCAGTTATAACTGTCATGTGTGGTTCTGGAAATGGGGGAGTAAGTAGCCAATAATGCTTTTCTTAGTGATACAGCAAGAAAAGCTCATTGTGACTTTATTTTACTGAATTTTGTTACAACCAGTTGAGTTTCATGTGTCTAGTTTCCCATTTGAGTATAATGAAACCTTATTAATTCAGTATCATTAATTTAAATTTATTATGATTAAGCATCAGTGTTTGGTAGGTAAGTTTTGCATCAGTACTGGATGTGAAGAAAAGGTTCTGCTAATCTAATTAACTGGTAGTGCTGTCAGGGATAATACACTTTAGAGAACAAATCCTTTTCAGGACTTAGTGAACAGCATGCAAATTCATGTTGTTAGTTACAGATCAGGTTGATTCATTAATATTTCCTTTCTGGACTTGTGTAAGGTAAATATACCACAAATTCATAGCTTTTAAAACATCTTGTAATCTTAAGGCTTAAGGCAACACCTGAGAGTTTAAGAAAATTCCAGTGGTTCTAAGTGTTATCAGTAAAACATAAGAAGAATAGTTTTTATTGAAGTGTGGGGAAGAATCCTTACTTTAATGGACAATATATTTTAAGACACTCAGTTAAAATGTGAAAAATTAGCACCTTAGAATCCAGCTAGTGAGATTTACTCTGTCATTGTTTATGTTAGTTGAAAAATATGCCTTTTAAAAATCTATTTGTTTATGACCTGTTTTGATTTATAATTTTAGAGATATGAAGTATGACTTGGATATACTGTGCATACATAACTTTTATAATTGGCCTCTTATGCTTTTCCTTATCTTTTTTGTGTCAGCCATGTGTAAAGTTGAAACTAATTATAAAACCAAATAAAGAATCCATTTAGAGTGACCTCATTGGAAAATAGCATTGTTCTAGAGATATTCTCCTTTTAGCAAATCCAGTTAAATTACCATTTTGAACGTTTTGTGAAATTGTATTGGACACCTCCAGAAATATGAAGAAAGGTGATGATTCATGATATGGAATTGGGATAATTACTAAAAAATTACTTTGTAAACTTTTTCAGCAACTTTCTGGTATTGTATTCT